GCCCCTACACCTCCACCAGGGGTTCCAGGACTGACAGGCCTGCCGTGAGCCCGGATGGGGCCAGTGATGGCGGAGGGGGGTTGCTCCTCCAGAACCCAAACTCCCAGAGCCACTGGGTGAGCCTGCAGAGCTGAAGCTCGTGAACACCAGGCGTCCGTGGGGCCCGAGGCCTGGGGTCTCCCGACAGGACCCCACCCCACCCAGCAGCCCCACAATTCTGCCACCAGGCATGCGCTGCCCAGACCCCCCAGATGGCCCACTTGATGACTTGGGGGCTGAATACAGACTGTGGGTGCAGCGGGGCTGCCGGCCTGGCCTTAACATACTCTCACGGCAGGCGGGGTGAAGAGTGCCACAGAGCAGCTGCCGACCTGCCCCTGCACAGCCCGGGCACAATTGGCTCACGCAGGCCTGCAGTGCCCCGCGCCATGTGCCACGGGGCCTAACCAGCCTCCAGCCCAACCTCCCATGAGCACACCACGTGCTCACCATGCTTCCCGGGCCATGGCCTGCAGGCCCCGAGACACAGACTGGCCGTCCTGGCTCTCTCCTTCTAGCACCTGGTCGGGCAAACCCATGGGGGGCTTCCTCCCTTCCTCTCAGCCTACCTGCTGGTGCGGCACCCCCCAGAGACACAGGCTCTGTGGCCCATGCTCGGCTTCCGTGCCTGTGGATGTGTGTGCAACGGTGAGGCTCTCTTGGCGACCAGCTCCTTCCTCTGCTTCTTGCACTGGTGGGTGCAGAGGGAGGCCCCCAGAAGTGCCCGCGCCCTCTCTCTGCCCCCCTGCCCGCCCCCCCCGGCCCTGCGCCCACAGCATTCTCTCCCTTGGAAGAGCAGGTCACGGCAGGCCTTCTCATTAGCTGCTAATTGCAGCACATGCTGGGCCTCCCGGGGCTGTTGCCGATCACACCTGTTGACAAGATGTGGCGGCCCCAGCGGGAAGGCGCCGTGTGCTGATTATACCGCTAATGATGTGCTCATTGCCCACGGTAATTTCCTTCAACAAGTAAACGCTGTGTCTGTTCGGCCCTGGGACAATTCTGGCTTCACGAGGAGCCCAGGGTGCGCCTGGGGTTCGGGAGGCCTGGTGGGCTCAGACGGGGACACCTCAGGCCACGAAGAACCCATATCACTGCCTGCATGTTCTCCTAAGAGAGGCAGGTTTCTCTCTCGAGTCTGAGAATAAGGGGCACTGGGACCACCCTGACGCAGACCCCACCCCTGAGGGCCCTTCCTCACCCTCTGTCCCCGCACCCCAGCCCAGGGCCTGCAGAGCCTCACGGGGGCGTGGAAGGGTCTGCAGAGAGCGGCCCGGAAGGCTGTGCCCCCACAGGGAAGGACACCCATGACCCGCAGGGATCTAGGCTGATTCCCCCAGAAACTCCTGAGCATGGAGACCCTCCTGAGTAATGAGACCCCTAATTGGCCACACAGACCAACAAAATAGTCCCCAGTTGACAAAAAGCTTGGGGGCAGACATAGAAGGCTAGAACTCCTTGTTTGGGTGTGAGGCTGGCCTTGTTCTACATGACTGACATGCAGCGGGAAGCCCCTCCCTCGTGGGCCCTGGTTGTCCCCCCCCACCCCTGTGTCTGGCGCGGGGGGGCCGGGGCCTCCACACAGGCCACAACTGTCTGGGTGGGTCCACTGGGCAGACAGACACCCCAAGCACGTGGGCCACTCCTGAGCACACGTGCCTCCCCCTACACCCATGCAGAGCAGGGGGAGCAAACCCCACTTCTACTTCGCAGCATCTTGGGGGGGCCTGGAGACACAATACAGTAACAGTGGAGAAAGTAGTAAATGTTTTGAAATCACATATTTGAGAAAAAATTTTTTTAATTTTAAGTTTTTTATTTATCTAAGCAATTTCTATACCCAACATGGGGCTTGAGCTCATGACCTCAAGATCAAGAGTTGCACGCTTTTCTGACTGACCCAGACAGGAGCCCCTAAACATTTTTGGTTAAGACCTTTTACTCTTCCTGACCCTGGATTGTTGTATTCCTACTGCACATGGGCTGTCTGCCCCCGCAAAGGCACATGCGGGCCCAAGCCTGGCTTTGCAGAAAGCCTAGCAGGTGGGGTCCGTCCCAGCCCCACCCCCCAGGGCCAGCGCAGTCCGTGTGGGAGGTGGGCTATGACCTGGGGAGACACATCCCACTATGCAACTGTCCTCTGATCTCTGAGGGTCCCACAAAAACTTGGACATGAGGGCTGTGGTGGGTTGAACAGTGCCCCCCAAAAAACATGTCCCCCAAACCTGTGACCGAGACCTTATTTGGAGAAAGGGTGTTTACAGATGTAATTAAGTTGAGGGTTTTGAGATGAGATCCTGCTGGGTAGTAGGCTGGGCCCTGAATCCAATGGCAGGTGTCTTTAGGAGGAGGAGACACACAGGGGCCCCGGGACGGAGTCGCGGAGGCTGGAGGGACAGAGCCATGTGTCCGGGGCCGCCCCGGGGCCACCAGGAGCTGGACCAGGCAGGAGGGATCCTTTGGAAGGGCCTGCCAACACCTTGGCCTCAGACCTGTGGCCTCAAGAACTGAGAGGATAAACTTTTGTTGTAAACCCCCCGTTGTGACCCCCCCCATTGCAGCAGTGCTGGACACTAACACAGGGCCAGTCCCTCCGACGGTGAGACTGGTGTCCGCCTGCCGGAGGGGACGGCAGCTCCATGCACCTCGGTGGGAACCATGCCTGTTCCCACCCAAAGGTCTGCTGGCCAGCTTTGGGCAAAGGGGGTCCTTTGGGCACCCCTAGAGCAGAGGCCAAGCTCTGCATCTGTCCCAGCTCAGGGAGAGGGGTGCCCACACCCAGTCCCAGCATCCTGGCAGCTGCCCAGGCTGGCTGCAGGGCCCTCAGTTTCCCCCACGTGTGGAAACCCTGGCATTGCACATGGGAAGTGTATGGCAAATACTCACTAATGATGATGATGAAACAATCTGCAGGTGTGAGAATAGGTGCACAGAGGAGGCAGGCATGGTGTTGGCTCAAGAGCCTCAGGGTCTCCAGGAGCCCTCATCGTGTGTGCGTGCACGTGTGACATCAGAGACCCCCAGTCAGATTTTCTGAACCAGACACTGTTTCGGTCACCCAGGCACTCCCCAGGGACGGTGGGACTGAGGTCGAAACCAGGTGGACCCGGGTGCACTCACTGTCCCGATCTCTTGGAGCCACCTTGAGGCAGCCAGTTTTATTGAGATATAGACTCACATATCATACAATCCACCCACTTAAAGCGTGCAATTCAACGGTTTTTGATACATTCCATTATTTTTAAATTGTAGTAAAATGTATGCAACAGAATTTGCCACAGTGCCCCTGCGTACGCACACAAGTCCACGGTGCTGTGTTCACAGTGTGGTGCAACCATATCTCTCTCTCCAACACTTTTCATCACCGCACACCGAAATCTCCTCCCCAGCCCCTGGCAACCTCCAAGCTACTTCCTGTCTCTACGGAGTTGACTATTCTGCACACGTCCTGGAAATGGAATCCTGCAATATGGGCTTTCTGTGTGGCTCCTCTCACCGAGCATCATGTCCTTGGGGGTCATCCACGTGGCAGCAGGGGTCAGTGGCTCATCCTGCTTTACGGTTGAGTGCTAATCCATGGGCAGGGACGGACCACAATTAGTTTCTCCACTCATCTGCTGATGGACAGTTGGGCTGTTCCCACCTTTTGTCCACCCCACCCTTTGCTCCACTTGGTTTGCGCCTACAGACTTAGGTTCCAAGGGACAGAGAGATTGAAGCCTGCCCCGCATAGTCTTGGGCTCTGACATCTACATGCTGCACTCCCCCATTCCAGTGTTGGGAGAACGTTCCCTGCACTCCCAGCCTCAGCCAGAGCCCCTCCCATGTAAATCCTCTCCATCACTCCCTAAGGTTATTTCTTCTAAAAATCTCTTGGGATTGTTCAGATTTCAGGCATCATATCTCAGACCTTGGTCAGGTGTTGCCAGGACAGGGGATGGGTGGGGCCTGGAAGTCCACCTGGTATAGCTGCTGAACAGGAAAGTCCAGTCCTGGCAGCCAAGAGAAGAAGCGCAACTCCGCCCCCCCCCCCCCCCCCCCCCCCCCCACGACACACACCAAGAGGCTGCCCTAGCAGCTGGGCCTTGGCTTTCCGGACCTCCAAGAAAACCCACAGGCAGGTGTGGGAGTCATCACACAAGCCCAAACTGGGGCAAGAACTCCAAGAAGAGTGGGAGCACCGGTCAGTCTGGGCCCTGCAACATGACATTACCCCCGATGTTCTGGGACTGAGCCCAGCGGGGTTCGCAGGACATGCCAGACTCAGCTACTGGAGTTCTCCGGAAAGCCCCAATAAAAAGCGCTCATTAAATTTAAAACTGGGCTTGACTCGGTTTGCAGTGGCTCAAGACCTGAGTCTGACCTGCAGCAGTCCTGTCGCATACTAGAAAATCTTACAGGGAAATGGTTTTCTGGAGCTGGTCTCCAAAGTAACAGAAGAGGGCGTCGGAGGCCGGGACAGAAGCGCCGCGAGCGCCCTCTCGGAACCCCAAGGCTCCGTGCCGAGCCGCTGCATTGTAAAGGAGCCGCTGCCTGTCCCTGTCACTCTCATTGTCCTCACTCTGCAACACAGATTGGGTGCCCATGAGTGCCCACGAGTGCCAGGCGCCCTTCTGGGGTCTTGAGCGCCTGCGGGACCAAGTAAAGCAAGGCCGCTGCCTCCGCTAGCTCCCAGGTCAAGGACTGCAGGGCCGCACACCTGGCGGGCAGGTGAGCCCTGGGGGGAGGGAGACGTCATTCTGGTCTACTTGGCCTCTCCGCCCCATCCCAGGAGGCGGGGAAGGCCACAGGCTCTTCCGCGGGGCAGGGCGGGCCAGCAGGGGGCGCGCGCTCTCCAGGCGCCCGGCGGGGGTGGCAAATGCGCATGCGCTGCGCGGGGCACTTTCCGGCAGCGTGGCGGAAAGAGCCTGCCGTTTCGCGCCGTTTGGAGAGTTCTGAGCCCCGAGCCCGGAGGCAGTACGGCAGCCATGGCGTCGCCCTTCAGCGGGGCGCTGCAGCTGACAGACCTGGATGACTTCATCGGGCCGTCTCAGGTGGGCCGGCCCGCGTGGGCAGCGGCCGAGTCTGGGGCGGGGCCCCCCTGCCCTGCCCCTTCAGTTTCTTCCCCTGAGAAACGGGATCGGAACCCAGGGACCCCCGCCCGCGCCCCCCGGGCCTCCGGCGCTCCGGCCGGCTTCCTGCCGATGGGAAACCGAGGCCAGGGATGGCGATGCCCCGAGCCGGGTTACTGCTTCGCAAGGCATCGAGGAGCGAAGCGAGGCCAAGTCCGCGGGTGTGAGGTCGGGGCGAGCGGGTGAGGGGCGTGTCGAGTGCCCTGTCACTGTGGGTCTCCGGAAGCCGGGGGGAGCCCGGCAGAGCCGCCAGAGTCACCCCGCTGGGCAGCGGCGGGCTCGGGGCCGGGACGACCCTGTTCGCTTCCTCTGGTAGACAGCTGGGACCAACTCCACCGCTGGAGTCACCTGCCTTGACTGCCCAGTACACGTCAGGGTGTGCGGTCGTCGTTGACAGAGCTTGCGCCTAAGGGAGGCAGGACAGCCACACTTGAAAGTGGGCGTCGTCCTTATCTGGTGTACCTGCCTATCAAGCGCACCAGCTGCGCAGGACCAGGACTGGGAGGGCCATAGCTAAGGAGTGCGGGGAGGAGGGGAAGGGTGGGGCTGGTCACAGCACCGTGAACAGGGCTTTCTGGGCCGGATCATCCCTGGGAAGGAAACGGCCAAAGAGGTTCTTGTAGTGACAGTGAGACCCCAAGAACTCGGGGAGTTGGGAAGAAAAATGAACTCCTTTCACTGGGCACCGGGCAGGTGGTGACCTCCAAGCAAAGCATTCCTGCAGAGGTGCAGAAATGGTGGTTCCTGGGTGTCCTCTTAGTGGCCAGTCCACGTGCTGAGAACAAGAATAAAGGTCAGAGCCGGCAGGCGTGCAGGGGGTTAGGCTGTGGCCCAGTAACGCCGGCCTTCATCTGACTCTGAGCTGCAGAGTAACCGTTGGTGCCGGTGGGGTGTTAGAATGTGTGCCCTGTGTGCACGCAGGGTCAGCAGCCATCCTGCTGAGACTGCTTCTGTGGCCGGAGGAGAGGAGTCGGGCGTGGTGGCGTGACCATCAGGTTGCCTCTCTTCTTGGGGAACCTCCACACACTCAGGCCCCCATTTGGGGTCTCTTCCTGGTATAGGACTGCATCAAGCCCATGAAGGTGGATAAGAGGCCAGGAAGTGGCGTGGCCAAGATCCACATCGAAGATGATGGGAGTTACTTCCAGGTCAGTCAGGTAAGTTCCAGCCCAGATGACCAAAAACATGTTTTTGCTGCTCTTTCCAGTCACGAGTACGGTGATCGTGAGACCTTTCACAGTGGTCAGATTCACTGTCACCAAGGCCAGGAGGGCAGGGATGGGACTGGGGTAGGGGTGGAGGGGCACAGAGGCCCGCTCTCTCCATGAGTTCTAATTGTGTGGGATTTTCCAGTTCACACAGCTTGTTCTTGAACACCTGCTTCTTGAGTAATTATGCAATAACAAGATCCTGGTCTAAGGACTGTCTGCTATTTGGACCCTCAAGAACGTCTGTGCCATCCCATGACCACAGACACGGGCACACCTGGTCCAGGAACTCCTCCCAAGCAGGGGAGGAGCCTCAGGGTGGCACATGGTAGGGCTGGACCAGGGGTTCAAGCATTCCCAGGGAGAGAGCCAGCCGTTTCCTCAGGCCAGGAGTGTGACCCTGCAGCACACCACAGCTCCTGCCCAAGCCCCGCACAGCACAGGGAAACGCCACCTCAGGGTTGGGGGCATCCCACAAGGGAAGGTGAGGTGGGGGCACCAATGGGCCCTGCCATCCCAAGCAGTGTGGTTGATTTGGAGGGAAGTTGGGAAGCTTATTGGTCTCTTGACACAAAATCAAAGCCTGGGCCTTTAGGCCCATCTAACTCTAAAAATACGCACTGAGCTCAAATTGTGGCTTTGGTGTGAAGCGCCACCGTGATGAGCTGGGCTGGAAGGGAGTCCCCGTCTCCTCAGCCCTCTGGTCATATTCTGGGCTCTGCAGCTCACCCTGGCTTGACGCTTCCTGAGTTTACAGAGGGAGTAAAGGGGCTCAGCTGGGATCACTTGCATCTAGGGACAGTTGCAGAATATCAGCCTGGAGGCCCACGTCCAACACAAAGTTCTGCAACTGTTGGCCCTCTGGCTTTTGCTGCCTGTGTGTCTGTCCCTGTCTGGGGCTGGTGCTCGCTGGGCAGAGTGCTGCCTCACTCTGCCCTCTGCCCGCCCCTTCATCTCAGCCTTGCCTTTCTCATCCTCCCGTTGGAGCCTGGCCTTTGACATTTTCCTATCTTCACAGCCCCACGCGTGCAGACTAGGAACCTCTGGCAAGTCACCCGCTCCTCTGCAGATTTCACGCCCACATTCCACCCCTGACAGGCTACAGGCCTTATTAATACGATTCTGATGTGCCAAGTGAGCTTGTGCCAAAGTTAGAATTTGATGGAGCTAGAATATGTATAGAATGTACATATCTCTGTGACAAATATTTAATTTTTAGAAAGTTGGTGGCATTCAAAGTCAGCCAACTACCATGTTGGTTGTCGGTGTTGGAAGCCAGAGAATAAAGGTTTCCTGTAGGTTCCATTATCCCAAGAGCTCATGTCCTTGTGCAGAGGGCCCTGTTGAATACTGAGTGCCTGTGCTTCCAGGATGGAGGGACTCAGAAGCTGGAGAAGGCCAAGATCTCACTGGATGACTGCCTGGCATGCAGTGGCTGTGTCACCTCAGCGGAGACTGTGCTCATCACTCAGCAAAGCCATGAGGAGCTGCGGAAAGTTCTAGATGCCAATAAGGTAAGTGGTGGGCGGTCTTGGAGACATTTTTAACCTGACATCGACCCCGGTATCCTTTGCTCTTGCTGTCAAGGGCTGCTGATCTCCAGGTCACTCCCACATTTTTAAAGGGGCATCAGTGGGATGTCAGTGAAGTACTTGTCATACTTCAACATTGAAGTGTTGGGTCCTACATGTACATAGAAACGACATGGCCCTGGAGGAAGGGCGTGCACTCACCAGCACTGGACCACTGCGGATCAGTGTGAAACACTCTGAGCACGTGTCCCTTGCTTTGCAGACGGCGGCCCCCGGTCAGCAGAGACTGGTTGTGGTTTCTGTCTCACCCCAATCCAGAGCGTCGCTGGCCGCAAGATTTCAGCTGACCCCTACAGACACTGCCAAGAAGCTGACTGCATTCTTTAAGAAACTCGGTAGGCACCAAACATCATGTGAGCACTGTAGCGCAGCATGTGTGGGGGGGTCCCGCGAGGGGGCGCCTCCGAGTCACTGAACTCAAACACACCAGAACCGTTCTGAGTTGACCTCAGCCCGAAGTTTTGGTTTGACACAGGAGAGCTGTGCCTTTCAAGAGAGAGCCTTGTGAATCCTCTTTCTGCTTTCCTGGTCTGGAACTCGCCTGCTTCTCGTGTTGTTTTTAAATGATCACCATCGAGGCCCATTTCCCAGGTCCCTGGCAGGTTCCTGCTCAGATCGACTTTGGTCAACCTCTGTGAGCCACGAGCTGGGCTGGGAGGTTGTGGACTTGGTGCCACCAGGGGCGTGGCCTGGTCCTGGACAAGTCATGGTGGGATCAGCTCCCTGGGGCATGGTCAGCCGTGCCTTACCATTCAGCCACCCTTCATGTGGGTGAGGTGGGTGCTTGCTTTCCAGGGGTGCACTACGTGTTCGATACCGCCTTCTCAAGGAACTTCAGTCTCCTTGAGAGCCAGCGAGAATTTGTGCAGCGGTTCCGAGGACAGGCCAACTCCACACAGGCCTTGCCTGTGCTCACATCCGCCTGCCCAGGTGTGTCCATGCTGCTGGATGCGGGGAACGGGAATGCTGGGGCGGGGGGAGTGCAGGCTTCTGGCAGGATGGCCTCCTGAGAGTTACTTAGCTCCCCAAGACCGTGATCTCACGGATGCTAGCAGCACAAGACAGTGACAGCAGAGCAGGGACGTTCTGTAACAGGACTGTAACTCCTTGTACGAGTCAGTCCGCCCCACAATGTCTTGGCACTCACTGCCTAGCTGGTGAGATGCTCCGTTTGTTCTGTTGGCCTCAGGCTGGATCTGCTATGCTGAGAAGATGCACGGGAGCTTCCTCATCCCTTACCTCAGCACTGCCCGGTCCCCACAGCAGGTCATGGGCTCCCTGGTCAAGGACTTCTTTGCCCAGCAGCAGGTAACGGGAATGTTCCAGCCGTGAACGATTCACTGTCATCCTGAAAGATAAGCCAAGAGTTACAGTGTCCACAGACCCATACAAAGAATCTCGGTTACATCCTGGCCGCTGGCCGGCTCTGCCACCCCCACCTTACCCCATGGGCCCCTGTACTGTTGGGTCAGGCAGCAACTCCACATTTCCACATTTCTCGGCAGCATTTGACCCCCGACAGGATCTACCATGTGACAGTGATGCCCTGCTATGACAAAAAGCTAGAAGCTTCCAGACCAGACTTCTTCAGCCAGGAGCACCAGACTCGTGACGTGGATTGTGTTGTCACCACAGGTTGGGTCCCGCCATCCTGAGCCCAGGGCATGAATGGCGTTGCCTGGGTCCTGCCCATCGGCTCTGGCTGGAGCTGCCATCCCCTGTGCATGAGGCATCCCCTGTGCATGAGGCACCCCCCGGCACTACCTGGGCATTTGCTCTAAAACAGTCTGCATGGGGAGGTGGGCGGAGATTCTTGTCAGCCGCTCTGACTCACATAGGTCACCCCATTTCTGAGTTGAGCAGCCTACAGAGTCTCCCAAATACTTAAAATCCGGAAAAGTAAACGCTCAGGACCCCAGACAGTGGGGGGAAGGCCTCCCTGCGCGAACACATGCCCCTGTCCACCTTGTGGGAAGCTGTGACCACCCCGCTGCAGGCGCACCCTAGGGATGGGCATGCCCACCCCCCGCCATGTTGCTCTGAGGGTGGGCTGCGGGTCTGGGGAGCAGGCTGGCTCTTCTAAGGGGCTTCAGAAGTGGGCCTTCCTGGCCTCTGTGCCTGGGTTCATCCTCCACCCGCAAGCCAGGAGGTGGATGTTTGGGTGTCCATCTGCCAGGGACACATATGATGTGGGTTTCCTCGATGTTGTTTTTATCGAGATCTCAGCTGAAGAGCATCTGTGCTGGGGTCTTCTTGTAGGGGAAGTCTTCAAGTTGCTGGAGGAAGAAGGGGTCTCCCTCTCGCAACTGGAGCCAGCTCCCCTGGACAGTCTGTGAGTCACCTCCTAGTGTGGTGGAGCTTGGCGTCAGGGTCTCCTGCTGTGGGTTTGGGGGCTGCAGGTGTCTCAACAAGCAGAAGTGAGCATGTGGGGGTAGGCAGCGTCCCCTCGCTTTCTCTTCCCCACCATGGCTTCCTTCTGGTTGGTCCCATGTTTGCCCTGTGGCCTGTCTCGGTGTCCACAGAGGTGGTCAAGTTCATGAGATGGCCAGTGGACAGCTAACTGATGGTCATCAGAGCTGACCCCAACTTGACACAGGTCTGCACTCCCCAAAACAGGTTACTCAACAGAGGGACAATCTATCTCCCACCTGAGCTACCTCCTGACACACACACAAAGCCCCCAGGTTTTGGGCTCCTTTTCCATTTAGAAAAGCAACTCCCTCAAACGTGAAGAGACAGAAGTTACCCAACATCTCTGTGGACAGCAGCCCTGCTGCCACCTGAGGCCATGCCCTGCTCCCCAGGTGCAGCAGCGCGTCTGCCCAAGAGCCCACCAGCCATCGGGGCGGGGGTTCTGGGGGCTACCTGGAGCACGTGTTTCAGCATGCAGCCCGGGAGCTCTTTGGAATCCATGTGGATGAGGTCACCTACAGACCCCTGAGGTCAGTGAGAAGGGCTGGAGCTTGGGGACAGGGGACAGGGCAGCCCAGCTCGGGCAGCCTTTGCCCTGGGTCCCCTCGCTGAGGTGGGCTTGGAGGACAGCAAGCTGGGTTTGGCGAAGACGCAGGGCACCAGGTAGGAGCTGAGCCCTCCTCTCTGGCCGGAGCTCTCCAGAGCTCTGCCTCCCCATCATAGTGGTCGAGAGCCCCCAGAGGCCATGGTGGCAGGGTTCATTCCGACATAATGCCCCCTTCCACAGATGGGGGGCTGGGGGCTATGTGACCTCACCACGCCTCATGGCCATCCTCGGGAGGGAGGCGGTTCCCATTCTAAAGATCGGGACACTGAGTGGAAGTGAGCTTTCTGCCCTCCCCTTCCATCACCATCCCCTGTGGAGGAGCCAGTCAGGGTGGCCCACGTGCCTGCAGGGGTGGGAAGCAGGAGGGAGCCTGGCCTGTGCCCCCCTCAGGAACAAGGACTTCCAAGAAGTGACCCTGGAGAAGGAGGGCCGCGTCCTGCTGCACTTTGCCGCAGCCTACGGCTTCCGCAACATCCAGAACCTGGTGCAGAAACTCAAGCGAGGGCGCTGCCCGTACCATTACGTGGAGGTCATGGCCTGCCCCTCAGGTAGCTGTGGCACGGGGGCCCTTTCTAGCACCAGGGCTGCAGGCAGGGTCCCACCTGGGCAGGGGGGCTGGAAGTGGAGCCCTGTCCTCGCCCCGACCTGAGTGGTCAGGAGGTCAGGAGAGCCGGGGCGGGGGGGGGGGCTGTGCCGTACGCCGTACCCCCCGCAGGCATCCCCGTCATGACCATGCTCTTGCCTGCCCTGCTCACAGGCTGTCTGAACGGCGGAGGCCAGCTCAAGGCCCCTGGCACGCCCAGCAAGGCGCTTCTCCAGCACGTGGAGATACTGTACGGCATGGTCAGGACCGAGGCGCCGGAGGAAGTGCCTGGCGTCCAGGAACTGTATGGGTGCTGGCTGCAGGGCGAGGGCTCAGAGCGGGCTGGCCACCTGCTGCACACGAGCTACCACACAGTGGAGAAGGCCAGCTCCGGCCTCAGCATCAGGTGGTAGGAGGCCTCTTCACAGGGCTGCTGGGCCCAGCACAGCCTGTACTGGGACGCCCATGAAGCTCATGTCCTAAGACCCCAGGGATCGCCCCCAAAACACTGACTGCGCTAACCCACACAGAAACAGGACTCAGGACCCACAGTCAGGCAAGGTGACCTCCAGCGTGCCCTCACCCAGACTCCCCAGGGCAGGGGGCCAGAGGTCCCACAAGGTCCCAGAACCTCCCCATGGGGCCAGGTCTGCAAGCAGTGTCCTCGCTGCTCCTGCCTGGAGACCCAGGAGAAGCCCAGTCCCGTGGGCAGCTTAAGGCAGAGCGAAAGTAGGACTCCTCATCCCCATTCCTGGAGTCATCCCTGAAGCTGGGTCTGCCAGGCTGGGGGCAACCCACCTGCCCTAGACAGAACGCTGGCCAGAGAGGGGCACCCAGCCCACTGAGCCCCATGCTGGAGATGGCGTACCTGCCCCACCTGGAACTGGGCGTTGAGGACGCCGTGGCCTCTGGGACCTGACAACGTGCATTTCTGGGCAGAGTTCCAGGCGAGAAGCAGGCTCTTTTAGAAAGACCCCGTGAGATCAGGCACTAAATCCATCTCCACAGCTGGGTTATGGGGGTGGGGGAGAGGCAGATTGGGGTGAGCCCACCAGGCCTGTTGTGACAGAGCTCCCAATCTAATAAAGGGATCTCTCTGAAAATGGCTCCAAGTCCAAGAGCATCCACCAGCGTCAAGAACCTTTCACAGCTTTATTCAAAGTTCGGAAGCCCTGTGCACTCCAGCACGCTGCTTCTGAAACGTCCAGACCTCAGGGCTCACATGCACCCCAGAGAGGGGCCTCACATGTCCAGGGCGCCCCTCCACCAAGCCTGGACAGCCAGCTGGGCAGGGCCATGGAAGGTTCCAGAGGCAATCCTCCTGTGGGCTCAGTTGGCCAAGGTTTGAAGGAGAGATGTGCTGCCTGCCCCCACAGCGGGTCTAGTTGGGGCTCATTTCTGTCGAGGTGTGCCCAGGAGCCCCCACTGCAGTGCCAAGAGAGCCCGAGCCTGCGGCTGCACCGGCTCGGCCGCCCACTGGAAGCTCGCCCGCTCCTTGCAGAGTGCCTCCAGGACCTCAGCTGGGGCTGCCTTCCCCGTGAACTTGCGCACAGGCTCTTCTCTGTGGGGAAAGGGGACGCCGTGGGGAGTCTGTTGGGGAACTACCAGGGAGTGTTGGCAGAGGACACTTAAAAGAGCAGCTGCTCCCTGATGCCCGTCAGCCCAATAACCAGTCCCCTGGCACCTCCTGCAGTGCCCAAATGATGCCAAGGAGGACCAAAGGACAGCAGGCCAGCTACGAGGCATCCTGCTCTGGGGCGCAGCCCCTGGGGTGGGCACGGGGCCCCCATAAGGCCTGGGATGCTGATCAGTACTCACGCCACCCTTAGGAAAGGGTTGTAGAGGAGCTCCTCACTCAGGGTAGATGGTACTGTGGGCATGTCGTCCTCGTCCCTCTTCTGGAATGACCACAGGCCCTTGTCACAGCCTTGTCTTGAGAGCCCCAGGCAACTTGGCTCCGCTCCTTCTACTCACCCCTTCCTGGGGGCGGGAGCAGAAGAAGGGCTGCCTCGCCCCATCTGGCCCTTGAGGGCAGCCACCCCTGGGCCAGTCCTACCAGCTGCCCAGACCCCTATCCAAAGCCACCCACTCCTCCCCTCCCCAGTAGGAGCCTCAGTCAGTGGTGGAGCCCAGGCTAAGCCAGGTCTGGTCAAGTCTGACTTCCTCTGCAGTGCCCCTCCTCTGCCCCAACCTTCATCCACCCTCCAAACCTCTAGGAGGAAAAAGGGAGGGGTGGCCGCACCTTAGCCCATGACAGCTTGGCTCTCACATGGTCATTGCCGGGCTCCACTTTCTGTGCAAACTCAAGGTTGCCCAGCGTGTGCTCATGACCACAGAACACCTTCTGGAGAAAGAAGGCACTCAGGGGGTGCACAGTGCTGCCACAGGCAGAGATGGGGAGGCGCTCCCCGGGGCTGGCCTGGCCCCTCCCTGGACCCCAGCACCCCATGCCTGGTCTGCCTTGGCTCCTCGGCTGATGAGTATTCATTCTGCACCCCTGTGGCACAAGTCACGGACAGAGCCTGCAGGTTGTACAGGGCGGCTGGACCCTGCGGGAGGGGAAGGGATGGCCGCTCACCGTCTCCGGGGGCAGGCTGCCCAAGGTCTCTGTCAGGCTCTCGTACATCTGCTGAGCTGTGCTCTCCAGGCGCAAGCCACAGCCAGCCACCGACAGCGCATCCCCTGGGGAGGACAGCAGATCAGAGAAGGTGGGGCAGGGTTAGAGGGAGGCGAGGCTGGTGGGGCGGGGCAGCCAGTACCCGAGAACACCGCGGGCGGATCCGGACACTCCTCTTCCCACAGGAAGTAGCTCATGTGGCCGGAGGTGTGGCCCGGCGTCAGGAGACAGCGCACGTGGATGGCCCCAAACTGCGGCAGAGGGGCGGGCGGCTGGTGAGGCGGGAGGGCCCAAGGCGATTCCCCGCCCTCCCGGGCGCGCGCTCACCCGCAGCTCCTCGCCGTGCACCAGCCTGCGGGTCAGCGCGCAGATGCGCTCGTCCGCGCCCAGCACCGCCAGCCCCGGCCGCAGCCGCGCCAGCTCCACGTTGCCCCGCGCGTGGTCCCTGCGGACGGGCGGAAGCAGGATCACGCCGGGCTCGGGGTGGGGCAGGGGCGATGCCCTCGCGCCTCGGCCCGCCCCGACCGCGCTCACCAGTGGTGGTGGGTGGTCAGCACGGTTGTCAGTGATACCCCCTCCCGGCCCACGATCTCCAGCAGCTGAAAGGGACGGAGTTAGGGAGATTTGGTAGGGCCAGGTGGCCGCCCCCACCCCCCCGCCCCCGGCTAGGGTGCCAGGTGTGATGTACAGAGTCCCAGGCGGGCCAGGGGGCGTGGGGTAAGGGAGACCCCGCAGACAATAAGTGAGCGCCCAGGGCGTACGACAACAGGCACCAGGGAGGGGGAAACGGAGGTCAGAGGTGGTCCTAACTTCAGGGCAGACCCAAGATAATCGGGGAACCGTAATCGCCAAGTACCCAGAGATGAGAGAACAGGGGAAGGGCCTGCTCCAACCACGGTTGTCGGGGGACCCCAGCGGCGCTCCCCGCCGCCCACAGGTTGCCCTCACCCTCTTGGGCACAGCCACGTCCACGGCCACAGCCTCCCGCGTGCGCTCCTCGATGACCAGGTACATGTAGTTATCCTCGAGCACAGGGATGACCTTGACCTTCATGGTCGCAGAGCTCAGGCACCCCGCGTCTTCTCGAGAGGCCCCCAGGCTTTCGAACCCCTTCCTCAGGGGCGGGGGCTTCCCTCTCCAGGCCAAAGCAGGGCTGTGCGAGGGAGGGGTCAGCTCCACACACACATTGAGGGCCAGAAAGGGAGCCCGCTCGCTGCTCCACGGACGTCCCGGAGGAGCGGTGCTGAAGCCCACGCCCCAGGCTCAAGCCCGGACGGCCAGGGCGGACGCCAGCCCCCGGCGACAGCGACGCCGTCACCGCCCGCCGCCCGCCGCGCAGGCCCCGCCCCTCGCGACGACGCAACTGCCCGGGCCCCGCCCATCCCGCGCCGCGGGCCCCGCCTTCCCCTTGAACCACGCCCTCCTGTGCCACTCTGCGCGTCGCGCCTAGGCCACGCCCCTCTCCAGGCCCGCCCCGCCCCCCAGGTCCCCCTGCCGCCGGGGCGCGACTCCGGCCCCGAACCGTTTCCTTACCCGCAGGGGCTACGCCAGCGCGGACCGTCTGAAAAACGGCCGGACAGACACGGGCCTCAGACGCTGGCCACGGGACTTGAACGGAGCACGGCGCTCGGCCTGGCTACCGCCAACGACCTGTGCCCCGGCGCAGGGAGCAAGCGTGCGCGGCCTGGGGCGCGCGCGTTCCCGATGGGGGCCGCACGCACGTCCGGGACCGCTGCTCCCGGCCCTCCCGCGCCGCCTCCGCGAAGCCCTCCTGGCGCCGGGGCTGAGCCAGTCCTGAGTTCCCCAGCGCCTTGACTGGAACGCCTGCGCCCCCTTCCCTCGGGCTGGAGGCGGGGGAACCTTACAGTTCGTTCACCTGCCCATCCCAGGGCCCAACCAGAAACAGTAGGCACGCAGAAGGCGCCTACTCTGTGAACCCCCATGGCAGGGCAGGCACCCTGTGCGAGGACAGCAGTGACAGCAGCGGTCGCTCCATTCTGTACTGGGCCTTCTCATGAACTCCTGGTTCCATCAGTGCCTAGGATAAATGCTGCGGCGCCGGAAACCAGAAAGGATGGGGAGCCATATACGGAAAGAGCTGAGGGAGTTCCCCACCCCCTGCAATGCCCTCGTGGGTGGGGCCCCCAGAGCTCCGGGGATCAGCAGGGGACCAACAGAGGCCTTGGCAACACAAGCCACAGTGTTGCAGCAACAGGCCAGTAGGTAAGGCGACACTGCATCTGGGGAGGCCAGAGTCCCTTCGGTCTATGGAGCATGCGGCAGCCACAGGCCCCAGGCCAGCGCCCCCACCTGGGGCCAGTGAGAACGTGAGTCCCTCCAGGACACTTCTGCTTCTGCCATGGGGTCGGGGGTCCTCCCTATACCCTCAGAGGCCAGGAGAAACTGCCCTAGCTCAGGCAGGCTGTGTGTGGAGGGGGTATTGGGGAGGGGGGAGTGCATGGCTGGTGGCTCCTTGGGAGTGGAGTCCACCGCCCAAGCCTGAGACCCAACTGGGGGGTGGGGGGGGTGATGCCTCCCCAGGTTCTGCCACAAGCGGAGGACTGGACAACCAACCTCAAGACAGAGCTTCTCTCAGATCTAGAGCTGAGTGAGGAGCACCGACTGCAGGTGGGTGGGGGGGCCCTAGGGTGCTAGCTAGCAAGAGGGAGGGTCCCACAGGCACCACCTCTTACCCTGTCCACCCACAGATCTCCAAGGAGTTGGTCGACCTACAGATCACAACACATCACCTGCGGGAGCAGCATGAGGCTGAACTCTTTGAGCTGAAGAGTGAGGTGGGTGCTGGTATGTGCCCACATGTGCCAGCCCGAGCACATGGGGGGGGGTACATACCTAGAACCAGTGCTATGAGGGGTCTAGGTACACCCATGTGATTGTACACACTCATGTAGTGTCTGTGAGTTCCCACGTCTCCTGTGTGTGCTGTGTGTCCTTGTATGTACCCAGATGATGTTGACCTACTCTGGGTGGCCTGGCAGGCAGGTGCACCTGCTTACCCTGGTCATCCTGCAGGTCCTACGGCTGGAGAGCCGGGTGCTAGAGCTGGAACTGCATGGAGATTGCGCAGCCCCCCTAGAGGCTGGCCTGGGGCACCACCAGGAGCTGGCCCGAGGGCTCCAGCACAAGGCCTGGGAGCAGGGACGCTCTGTCCACCACAGACCTCAGGTCACCATGAGTGCATGGAGGTCCTGGCTGGGTGGGAGCCCAACAGGGGTGCAGTAGAGGCACAGTGAGGTTGGGGCCGACTCTCTCATACAGGCACAGCCTGAGAACTTCCTGACCCCTAGGGATGAACAGCAGCTGGGGAACAGCGTGAGTGTGCAGCCACCTAGCCTGGGGATCTGTCCAGATTTCTCCCAGCCCAGTGTGGTGTTGGGCATTGCCAGGAACCCAGAGCTTGTGTACCCCGCAGCTGCAGGGAGAATGGAAGCGGGTGCTGGAGCAGCACAAGGCCCAGAAGCAGGCACTGGAGACCCGTGTGTGAGTGGATGCCTCACTTGGGTTGGAGGGGATCCAGACCGCACCAGGCTCAGAGTGGCTTTTCCCAAGAGCAGAGGGAGTCCCCACCCTGGGCCCAGCTGAGCTTCACATGCTTGTCCGCAGGGCAGACCTGGGCCAGCGGCTGCAGGAAGCCCAACAGGAGGCCAGGACAGCTGGGCAGCAACTAGCTGCACAAGCCATGGTGAGGCCCAGCCTTACCCACTTTGAGATCTAGTAGGTGGTGTTCTACAGTCTGCAAAGGTTCACCCCGTGGAGTGTGGGTTCAAGGCTGCCTCCACCCCCAGGTGTTGTCTGCCTGCCAAGGCCAGCTGCGCCAGGCTGAGGCAGAGAACGCCCAGCTGCAGTTGCAGCTCAAGAAACTGAACGAAGAGTACGCCGTCCAGCTGCAGCGCTGTGCCCGAGCCGTGGCCGTGAGCACCGGGTGGGGTGGCCCTGTGGTGAAAGGGAGGCCTCGCGTCCTGGGGAGTCCAAGCCCAGCCTGGGTGGGCTCGCCTGCGGCTCGGCTCCCTCCGCTCCGCAGAGGGGTTTGTGGGAAGCAGTGTGCGCCCGGCAAGCCCCGCCCCCTTGGCCCTGGCCCCAGCCCCAGCCCCGCCCCATCACCTCCAGGAGTATGCGAACGGCACGGGCCGGGAGCCGGCCGCGGCAGCCCTCCGCACATTCCTGGAGACCACTCTGGAGGACATGCGGGCAGCGCACCGCCGCCGTGAGCAGCAGTTGGCCCGGGCTGCTCGTGCCTACCGCAAGCGCCTGGCAGATGTGAGCCGTAGACACGAGGAGCTGCTGGCCGCCCGCAGGTGGGCCCCTCCCTGAGACGGGCACCTGGGGTGGGGTGGCCCTATGTGACGTGGCACGTGGCTTAGTGTGCAGCAGGTGCTGGCCGACTCCACTGGGGCACCCGGGACCCCTAAAGCTACTTTTGATGCAGCCACCTCACACCTGGAGCCACTGTCTCTGCACCTGGTCTCCGAACTTGGCCACCCGGGAGCGGCCCAGGCCAGGCTGGAGACAAAGCTCCGAAAGCTCCAGGCCCAGGTGAGCTCTCCCTGCTGCCCTACACTGGCCTTGGAGCACAGCACCCCAGAACACACCCCAGGCCCATCCCAGGCTCAGCAAAGACCCCATCCCTGAGCAGCCTGCCTCATTCAGCCAACAGAGAATCCCTACCACAGCCCACCAGGCTCATGATGCTGCTTTTGTTCCTACAGAAGGGGCCCAATGAAGCCTCCCAGGGGGGCACGTCAGAGCCGCAGTGAGTACCCTGGGGTGGGTGGTGGGAGGACCTGCAGGGGGATCATTCATTTATTCCTCCAACTCTTAAGCCCTGGGTGGGGCTTTGGTTGCGGTGGTGAACAAGGTGGCCCATCTGTGCCCTTGGGTTTCGGTCTGTATGGGAGACATCAATAATCACAGAAAGCCAAGCACCTGGGTGAAGTGGGGCCCTGACAGGAGAGGGGCTGACCTTGAATGGGAGGGTCAGGGAGATCCCCTAAGAAAGGCACATTTCAGTGAGACCCAGGGGACCTAAGGATGAAGAGGTGTGGTGGATGCCAGCAGAAGCCCTGGCCCCGGGACAGGACAGAAGCAGGCTGCCTGGTGACTTTCACAGCCCTGCCTCTGGGCCTCCATGTTCCAAACTGTGCAATGGGCAGGGGCTGGTATCAGCTCAACTCCCAGAGTTTTGAGAAATAAACCCCTAGAATGGGGGGAGGCCCCCCATCAACATCCATACAGCACTGGGGTCACTGTCTGGTCTCGTGGCTTAGCCCTCCGTGAGCGGCCAGTAGGCCCTCTGGACCTGGGCTGCCCTGCCCCCACGTACCTACCGATGGGTCAAAGGCCCAAGCAGGGCCCAGAGTGGACAGGTGGGCCCATGCTGTCCTGACCTTGCTCCCAGCAGGCAAGTCAGGCATCTAGGTGCCCCAACTTGAGCAAGGTGATTGATCAACACCTGGCCTAACGCTGGCCCTCATACCTGCCCCTCCCTCTCTCCTCACAGGGGCCAGGAAGCTCCATCCTGGGCCCAGATCCACCAGAAGCTCCAAGACTTCTCCCGTGGCACCCAGGTAATAGGCAAGGTCTGGCTGGGGGCCTCTTCTCACACTTTGTCCAGCCTCATAGCTTATGCCCTCCCTATGGCAGGCGGAGCTGGAACGCGAGCGGGCACTGCTACTAGTACGGGCCACGATGGCTGAGGAGCAACTTTCTGAGCTACGGGAGTATGTGGACCAGCACCTCGGCAGGTGGGCCTCAGTCCCAGGTAACAGAGCTGGGCTTGTGCACAGCCAGGCAGGTGACTAATCCTGATCCCTCCGAGCAGGTACAGACAGGAGATCCTGAGGCTGAGGAAGCTCATGGGTACAGAGAACGCCTGGAAAGTGGGGGTCACACCTCCAATCAAGCCCCAGCACCCAAAGACCCAAAGCCACTAGCCAGCTGTCACACTCAGAGCAGAACTCTTCACAGCCAGCATGGAGCCCCCCTCACGGCACCCCCTTGGGGGGGGCGGTCATCCACCTAACCCTCCACCCGACAAGAGTCAGGACAGAGTCCACCGAGTCTTTATTTTGTCCAAATGGTCAGCCGGCCTGAGAATTGGGGGCCCCAGGGACTGAGGCAGAACTGGGTCCTGGGGAGGCCTGACTGGCCGACCCACCACTACGGACATCATAGGCCCAGACGCGGTCCACACCCTCACCCATCACAGCCACAGGCTGCCACGTGGGGAGCGGGTAGTGCCCCGACACCACTCGGGCCCCTTCGGGCAGCTCTGCCTGCAGCTTGTCTTCCAGCAGTGGGAGCTGTGGGAGAGAGCAGGAGGGTAGGGTACGCACGATGGAACACAGCTGCCCTGCCTATCCTCCTCCAGGCCCAGCACACACACGGAGGATGGCCTGGGCCTCCCCTGTAGCTAGCAGACCCCAGACCTACCACGCTAGGGGCCAGGAACACTGACACGTTGTGGCAGTCCCTCAGGTTCACCTGCAAAAAGAGGTCACCCCGGCAGGGAGTAGAGCCCCGGCCAAGGAGGTCTGGTGGGCATGTGGGCACTGTGGCTTCCAAGTCCTGGCCCCAGCCCATGCAGGTGGCAGGGGAACCTGGGGTTGTCAGCACAGTGGCCAACCAGCACTGGAAGTGTGGAGGTCAGGTGCAGGGTCTGAGGGGCTCCCGGACTCCCTGGGTTACCTTCCAGAGGTCCTCACGGCGGTAGCAGACGCTGCCGGCACAGCCTGCCCTCCAGGCATGCAGCCGAGCCAGCCCCACTAGCCACGGGTTCAGCTCGTAGCCCACAGCCGGGCGGAGACCGCACCTGTGGGCGGCCAGCACCTGTGGGCACAGGAGACTGTGGGGACCAGAAGGAGGTGCGCTGGCGAGAGCCCCCCCCACACACACACACACACGCACTCCTTACGATCCTGCCATCGCCAGAGCCCAGGTCCACCATCTTTCCCGGCCGACCTCGCAGCAGCGACAGCACGTGGTCCACCTGCCGCTCACTTGCACCGACATAGGGCACCTAGAGGCGAGGAGGCAGGCGAGGCTGGGTCCCCAAGCCCGAGTCACACGGCGAGGCGGGGAGGGAGGACCGGGAGCCGGCCTCCGGAGCCTCCTGTCTGGGCGCGGGCGCTCTGCCCCACCTGCAGCCTGCCCCCACGCGCCACCGGCCCCGAGGGGCAGCCTCCAGGCCCCGCACCTGTAGCCGCAGCGGCACACGGCGGAAGCCAGGCTGCAGCAGCAGCGCCCACGCGGCGTAGACGGCCAGGCTTGAGCCCACCGCCGCCTGCAGCAGCTCCAGCACGCCCTGCCGCCGCTCGCGCAGCTCCGTCATCGCCTCGCCCGGCTCGTCCTGCTCCATGGCTGCGGGCCGCGCGGCTCAAGGTCGTCCCGCCCCGACGTCCCTCCCGGGCTCGGGTCCGAAACCCTCCCGCGCCGGCCCGGAGTTGGACAGCACCCTCGCCCCCGCCCCGTGCCCACCCGGCTCCTAACGGAGACGCCGGAAGTGGCGGGACGGAGGCCTCGGCGGGGCGCCGGAAGCGGCCTTCCCCTGGCGTTCCGCCCGGGCCCGGGGCCCTTCCCGCGCGTTCCGGGCCGCGGACCCTGGCCCTGCAGTGTCCCGCTCAAAGCCTGCGGCCGCCAGCCCTATCAGCCCACTCCGCGCCCAGGGGGAGCGGGGGGGGGCGCCGAACCCTGGCACGGGGACCTGTGGACCACACGTCCCCGCGCGGGGAGACGCGACAGAGCCGTCGACCTCAGAGAGAGCTAGACGCTCCAGGGAAACGGGGTGCTGCGGCTCAAGGGAAGGGGAGCCCTCCCAGGGGTTCCCGCGGGCCCTGCGCGGGCGGCCGCTTTGACGTGGCTGGAGCCGGGGGGCGGCCGTGGAGCCCAGGGGGGGAAGGAGGCACCTTTCCGAGGGTGGGGAGGCCGTCCCGGGGAGGCGCGTGTCCGCCCAAAGGACACCCCGAAGGCCAGCCCAGCCAGGGGCAGGTGCAGGGTGGGCACCTTCCGGCTCCCTCCCACAGCTGAGGCAGTCAGTCGGAGTGCGCAGGGACTGGAGGCCGCGCCGGGGCCTGAGGAAGTTAGGCGCTCTACTGAGAGGCAGGGTTGACCAGGAGATTGAGCGGACACTCGAGTGTGGTAGGAGGGGAGCTGGCTCAGCCACGGGGGTGCGAGAAAGAGCCCCAAGAGGGGAAGACCACCTTCCTTCTCTAAAAGTCTGAACATTTGAGATTCGAGAGGTGACCTGGTAAAGCCTGGCGGTGGGAGAAGCCAGTTGGGGGAACAGAGCCCTGAGCCAGGACCTTCTCCTCATCCCACCTGAGGCCAGGTGTCTCATGAACGGTAGGGACTTGGACCTATCCGCCGCCCTGGTCAAGAGCCTCAGCGTCAGACAATATAAACATGCCCAGGACCATGGCCCCCACCCCCAAGTACAGACGGCCCCACGTGCCTGCCTGTACTTGGCCCCAGCTGCCACCAGTCCTGAAAGACAGATGTCCCCGGGAGGCAGGGAACCCCAGTGCCCTGCTCCCAAGACCACTGGGGAGGGGGGATGGCCCAACCTGGCTCACAGCATTCTGTCTCCTTTGGGACTGTCATGGGGCCCTCCCCAGAAAGAAAGGTTGTGTACTGGGCTCTAAGCTGGGGGTGCTTACATGGCACCCTGCTCTTGTGTCTTCTGTTCCTTGCATTATTGCCACGGCCTGGAGAAGCACCTGACAGACACTCAATAAAAACGCGTTGACTGAATGAACGCACCTAACCCGATTCCTCACTGCACACCCCGCAATGCTCATGTTCACATCCCACAATCTGCTCCTCAGCCTTTGGGCACTGGGCAGCTGGGTGTGTACCTGTGTGAGTGCATGTGCCCGGAGGTGCCCCACAGGCCAGTTCCCGTAGCCCATGGCCCCCACATACATGCTCACCTGCACCGTTTCCCCTTGGCCCCTTTCCCCAGGGCAGGCATGAAGCCCCTGGCCCAGGACTTTGAGGCATGTCTTGGAGCACCCTGGGGGCTCCTTTGGCCCTGTTAGCCATACCCACAACTGCCCTTTCTGCACTTTATGAACAGAGTACTGGTTGCAAGGTCAGCACTTTCTCCGGGGAGGGTGTGTGGATGGGAGGCTCAGGCACTTCCTGGGGCAGGTGCGTAGAGACCACTGTCCAACCAAGAGCCCACCCCAGAGCAGCTGCCCCACGTTTTTTTAGACAGGTGGTCCGAGAGGCAGTCCACAGTGACCCTAGGAGGCCAGGCATCTCCTTCCAATGAAAGGCTGTGGAGAGCTGACCATAAAGTCAGGACAGACACCAAGGGTGAGGATGCTGCTTAGCCCTCGAGAGGAAGCCGTCCTTGGGGCCCGTCTGGACAGTGCAAAAACCTCCCAACAGGAGGGGGATCAGGAGTGTACACTCATCTCCTCTGCTCTTTGCTAAGATACTCTTTGGTGAGGGGAAGGGGGCAGATGGGGAGACAGCCGTCTGCAGACCAGGGAAGAGGTCCAGGCTGGAGATCAAAATGTAGGGTCATCAACATCCTGATGGCTTTTAAAGCCACAAGGCTGGTCCAGCTCTCCAGTGAGAGAATATTAACAGTGAGGAGGAGAGGTCTAGTGCCTGAGCACGGAGCACCCCATATTTGGGAGTTTGGGAAGAAGGGAGCAACAGTGAACTTCAGCAGGGGCAGGTGGGCAGAAACCCACAGGAGCCTACCTCCCCGACCCATAATTGTTAGCCGAATTTGGAGGAAGGGGCCCTGCCTCAGTTCCTGCCTAAAAGATGACACAGCCTCTGGTCTCCATCCTCACTGTCAGCCCCTTCTTAGTGTAGACTGGCAGGTAAGGATGGGACGCTGCTTCTGGGCCTAAGCGCATCAGCCCATGCATCCCCCCACCACAACCTGAGCTTTGGCTCTCTTGGGAATTGTGGGGTTGGGGTGAGCAGAGGCAGCTTGTCCCCAGTTTAGGAGCCCCTGCATGCACCCCCACCCCAGGGGCATTCAGCCTCAGGGCCCCGGGCTTTGTCCCAAACTGCACTGGCCTTTTGTGTGGCTGAGGCTGAGGAGGAAAGCAGAGGCAGCAACAATAGGGCCAGTGGCAGGAAAGGTTCCTTAGAGACCCCATCGTACGCCCCTGCCCTCCAGAAATGGGCAACATGCCTGGCCCTACAGGGGAGACCCCACTCCCCCGAGGCTTCCAGCCATGTAGGGATGCTCTGCACATCGCAGGGCCCTCCGGACAGAGGGGCCCATTCTTCCCCAAGGCTGGGATGGGGCCAGGATGACTCTGCTGGGCTCCCAGCGGACTACAGTGAGAAGTCTAGCACCCTGCCAGATTGCACCCCCCTTCCCTCACAGGCTAAGGAAGAGTGGTGTCTGCCTACCTGCCCCCCAGTAAGGGACCACACCCACCTCAGACCTTGGGAGTTACAGCCCTTTTCCACTCCCACTCCCACACGGAGGGAAGGCTCCCTGCTTCCCCCCAAGCCAAGCAGCAGCTCCTCCCCAAGGCACAGGCCTGGGCCACTCTCCCACTCACTAGCTGGGTGGCCTTAGACAAGGCACCACTGCCCTGAGCCTCAGTGTTCTACTTCTGCAGCAGAAATCGGAGCAGTTCCCAGGGCTGTGGGGGCTCAGAGGAGGTAAGGGCCAGCTCAGGCATGGGACACTCCATCTACGCTGGCTAAGGAAATCAGTGTTCTTATTAGTTATCACTCTCACCTCAGAAGCAGCTGGTACCACCTGGAGGCGACCCCTCCCTACTCCCCCTCGACCAGCCCCTCCTCAGTGCCCTGCTCCCAGGCCCCTCAGTCCAGGGCCACCTCACGGGGCAGAGGTGGTTGGCGTGGGCAGCCACATAGGCACAGCTGAATTCCTGGAAGCGACGTGCACAGCCTAGCCAGGCCTCACCAAAGTGGCTCCAGCCCATGAAGAGGAAGGGGCCGGGGCCGGTCCAGACACTGACGTGCAGCGGAGTGTGAATGGAGGCCTGCATGCAGCCCCCGGACACCCACCCCCCGTCCCCGGAACAGCAGCAGTGTCTGTCAGAGGACACGGGCAGCCGCCACCACGGTAACAGACTCCTGCAGCTCTGTGTCGTGGCCAACCCTGTGGATGGTTCCAGTGATCACTGTGGGGAGACACACTGGCCAGTGGCATGCAGGGGAGGATGGAGGGTGGACCCCAGGCTCCCCCCACGTGGAGACACTCACCAAAGTCGCTGGTGCACGCAGCCAGCAGGAGCTCAGGGTCACTGCAGGGCCTGCAGGCACCTGGCATGAAGGGGACATGGTGAGGGTAGGTCCTGCCTTCTCCTGGATCCCCCTAGGCCTCCCCCAGCTGGAGGGAGGAGGGAAAGGGCAGGCCACCAGACCCTCCCCTGCCCGATGACAACTGGGGACCCGAGGGAGCATGTGGGCACCTGACACTTGAACACTCACACATGCACAGACATGGGTCTAGGGGCTGTGCCCCGCGTGTGGGCACGAGGACTCATGCACCGGGAGTGGGTGTCCAGGGGCACACTCTCACACACCCATTTTAACATGTGCACACCAGCACACCCCTGTGGCCCAGAGCTGTCTCCTTGGGCCCAAAGACACCAGCCCAACCCAGGTGGGTGGCAGGAGGCTATCGTGAGTTTTGGAGTCTCTGGCCTGGGGCCCAAGGCAGAACAGAAAGACCCCCATCCCCTGTGGGGTCAGGCTCCACACTCTAGGAAAGTAAAGAGCTGGGCCTGGTGCCCTACAGGGAGGCAAGATAACATCTCCATGGTGACCAGACACACATTGGACTTTTGTTGTATTGGACTGGCGGGAGGGAGGGAGGTCACTGCTGGGCCAAGGAGCCCTGGACAGCTTTGGCTGGAGGCTTTGATTCTGTCCCCCGTCATCCCCTCCCCCTCCCTCAAGGACCAAGAGTCCTGCCTGCCCTTTCCCTAAGCTGAATCCTCAGGGATTGCCCACACCTCTCTCTGTCTCTTGGACCTGTCCTCACTAGATGTGTGATCTTTAGCAACCCACTTCACTCTCATGCCTCAGTTTCTCCCTCTGTACGATGGGGATGACAGGTGCATCCCCACCCAGCCCATCACTCACCATCAGCACCAAGACCGTGGGCCTGTGAAGGCAGTTCTGGATACCTGTCCTCGTGCATTTCAAAGCGGAAGGAGGCCACGCCGCAGCTGATGTCTGGGTGTGGGGTGGCCTGCAGGAAGAGGGCCCGGCGCTCACGGGGACCCCAGCGCACGCATCGGCCCCGCGCTGGGCCCAAACCCCCGGCCAGCAGCAGCTCCAGGGCGCCGCCCGCCCGCCGGCTCCGCGAAGACTTGCGCGCCTGCAAAGGGCCGCGCCCGGCGCAGGCAGGCGGTGCTGGAGCGCCTGCGGAAGTCGGGAGTCGGAGCTGGCCAGGGTCAGGCGCAGCGCCCCGGCCGCGTACAGCCACTGGATCATGCCCTCCGAACAGGCCAGGGACAGCTGCCCCACGCTGCCCGGCTCCTGGGTCAGGCCGCTGGGGACAGGACAGGACGGGAGGCGCTGAGGCGGCTCGCGTCCTCCCCCGGCGCAGCCCCCTGGTCCTGCACTCTCCCCCGAAGCCAGAAGCAGCTGCGTCCACCTGGTTCTCTGGGCTCTGGGGGCGCGGAGGGGCAGCACAGCCCCAGAGCGCGGCCTTCCGGGGCTTCGTACCTGCCGCTCCAGCCGCAGCGGTCCTCCGAGTAGCCGGCGCAGGTGGCGGTGGCCAGGAGGCCCTAGCAGAGCGCGCGCCCAGCAGCGCAAGGAGCGCCACGGTTCGGGCGGGCGGGGCGGCGGCGGGAGCACCCCGGGCTCCGGCCGGCCCCGCGCACAGTTCCGCCCGCGCCCCACCTCTGCCCCGCAGCCCCTTGGGGGCCAAGAGCGGGAGGCGGCGGGCCGGGCACGGCCAATCGCGGCGCGGCCCAGGAACTTTCCACCAATCGCAGCGGCGCTCGTGGGGGCGGGAGGCCGAGCCTCGGCTATGGTGGCGCGGAGGGCAGAGCTCCAGGCTCTGTGTGATGTGTCGCCCTCTCGCGCCCCCCTCCCCCCCGCATCGCCCTATGCGCCCTTGTCTTCGAGCCCTTGGCCGGGATAGGGGTGGGAGTAACGCCCACTGGAATGTGTCTGGGGGTAGGAGGAAGAGCGGCTCATCTCGGGTGGCCCTTTCCAAGAGTGGGCCCTGGGCTTCCAGTCTCCATGCTGCTCCAGCCTGGCCCTGCTGATTGGTCCCAAGAGATGGCACCTAGGGATGAGGGGCCAGATGCTGGGCCTGTGGGCACCATGGAGAAGCAGGAGCCAAAGGAGAGCCCTGAGCTCCAGAATCAGGCCCTGGGGAGGTCCAGACAAGCTGAAATGGGGCCAAGAGGGGTGGAGGCTGAGGGGAGTGTCTGGGAGCCCAGAGATTTCCTGGTAGCAAGGACTTCCCCTGAGGGGAGGGGTGGGGAACAGAGAGCCAGGTAGGCACTGGGGAGAATCCAGGCAGGGGAGAGGAGCAGACTGCCTTGGCAAAGGCCCAGAACAGGGTGAAATCCCTAGGTCAGATCACTGAGGCCCTAGGCACAAAGCCAGGAGTCCAACAATGTACTCAAATCCTTGGGGTCACTGAGAGTTTTAACCAAGGTCTGCAGGAAACTGCATAGACTCTCTGCCACCTATGGGTGTGAGCCCTCCACCCCACTATCCGCCTACCCCAGCCCTGCAGCTACCCCTGAGCCTGAAGGGCATGGCTGACAGATGAGGGAGGTGGCCCCAAGGGGAAGGGGGAGACATCCACAGGCTACAAGGGACGCCTTGCTCTGGACAACGAGAATGAGAAGCAGCCATCACAACAGCCACAGGGCAGGTGCAAACTCAGTGTCTATCGACAGATGAATGAATAAACAAAATGTGGTCCGTCCAACAGTGGACTATGATTCCACCTTAAAGAGGAAGGAGATTGGGGCGCCTGGGTGGCTCAGTTGGTTAAGCGACTGCCTTCGGCTCGGGTCATGATCCTGGAGTCCCGGGATCGAGTCCCGCATCGGGCTTCCTGCTCAGCAGGGAGTCTGCTTCTCCCTCTGACCCTCTTCCCTCTCGTGCTCTCTATCTCTCATTCTCTCTCTCTCAAATAAATAAATAAAATCTTTAAAAATAATAAAAAAAAAAAAAGAGGAAGGAGATTTGGGGGCGCCTGGCTGGCTCAAGTCGTGATCAGGGGTCCTGGGGTCGAGCCCTGCATCGGGCTTCTTGCTCAGCGGGGAGCCTACTTCTCCTTCTGCCTGCCGTTCCCCCCGCTTGTGCTCTCTCTCTCTATGTCTCTCTGACAAATCAATAAATAAAATATTTTAAAGAAATAAAAATAAAAAATAAAAAATCTAGGGGCCCCTGGGTGGCTCAGTTGGTTAAGCATCTCTCTTTACCTCGGGTTATGATCTCAGGGTCCTGGGATTGAGCCCCACGTCCCAGGCTCCCTGCTCAGCCAGGAGTCTGCTTCTCCCTCTCCGTCTGCCCCCCCACACTTGTGCTCTCTCTCTCTCTCTCGTAAATAAAATCTAAAAAAAACTTAAAAATTTTTTTAATTTAAAAAAAAAGGAAGGAGATGGGGGCACCTGCTACAGCACAGATGAACCTTGAGGGCATTCTGCTGAGTGCAATCAGCCAGACAGAAAAGGACAAATACCATATGATTCCACTGCTATGAGCCCTGGAGTTGTCAAGTTCATAGAGACAGAAGGTAGGTGGTGGGTGCCAGGGGCTGTGGCAGCGGGTGGGGAGAGGGTGTGTAATGGAGACAGGGCTTCAGGTGGAAAGATGGAAAGATGGGCCGTCTGCACAGCGATGGGAATGTGCCAAACACTACTCAACTGTGCACTTACTTAAAAATGGTGAGGATGCATAATTGTAAAAGTAAAGTAAAAATGCAAGAGGTAGACAGGGCCAGTGCTGGGCACGTAGAAGGTGAAAGAAGAGCCAGGAGGAGGAGGAAAGAGCGCACTCCGGTCAGCACCACAGCTGCCCTGGCCGGGGGGCACGCGTCCCCTTCCCACCTTCTGACCAGGCCTTGGGGCCCAAACCCCTGCCCCAGGTCTCCGAGGCAGATGGTGGCTCTGGGCGCCCTCTGGCGGCAGTGCGAGGAGTCAGCTGCGGACCCACCCCGGCCGGCCTGGGGCCCGTGGCTCCCCTCGCCAGCTTTCCCGCAGAGAATGAGTCCGTGCCTGTGGGTGCGAGGGAAGGGTTCCTGGCCAGTGGCCTGGTCCGGAAGGGGCACGCATGTGGCCCTGGGCCACTCCTCATCACCAGGCTTCCCCTGCCCGGGCCTCTTGCCCAGGGCCCGTGATAATGCCAAATGTCACCCACAGAAAACCTGGACAGGGGCCACCTGTCTTCACAGGTGCTGCCCCCCAAGAGCAAAGCACCTGGGTGGCGTTAGCCATCAAAGATCTGCTGCCCACGGGACAGGGAGCCCAGAAGGCCACGCCTGCCCTCGATGGACAGCGACCAGACACACTGCAGGTGCTCAGTAAACACACAGGCAAGGAGTGTGTGCACCAGTGAGTGAATAGGTGAGTGGAAGACACCCCAAACGTCAGGCAAATCCCCAGTGTCTATGCTCAGTATGGGGGCTCCTTCACAGGCCCTGGGCCAGAGGCCTGGGTCAGGGTCCTGACCCTCCAAAAGGGCCTCTCTTCATTCCCACCCAAACCCTAGTTCTTGGCAGGGGCTGCAGCTGATGCTGGGGCAACGAGCTGCATCTCAGCTGAGCCCCATACTCCGGCAGGGGGGTGACCCCAAACGGCAAAGGGCGCCTGACCAGAAGCCCGCAGTACTGGAGGCATAAGGAAGGAGCACTCATGACCAAGGCAGGTGCTGAGCTGGTCAAGGACCTGGGGGGGAGGGCAACAGGAAGGCGGGGCAGATCTGATGGCTGATGAGGGCAGGAAGACAGCCCACGTCCAAGAAACAGGGCGAGAGGGGTGCCTGGGTGGCTCAGTTGGTTGAGCGACTGCCTTCGGCTCAGGTCGTGATCCTGGAGTCCCGGGATCGAGTCCCGCATCGGACTCCCTGCTCAGCGGGGAGTCTGCTTCTCCCTCTGACCTTCCCCCCTCTCATGTACTCTCTCTCTCTCAAATAAACAAAATCTTAAAAAAAAAAAAAAAAGAAAAGAAACAGGGCGAGAGTCCCAAGGACAGTATGGAGCCCAGGGCAGACCAGGAACCAAGAAGGTGGCCCAGTGGGAGGAGTGGAGGGCCAGGCCCAGGCCCATCAGCCATGGGAGAGCTAGGACTTGGCCTGGAGGAGAGAGTGAACTGGGCTGAAATGATGAGAAAGCCCAGAGAAAGAAGTCAAGGTGTTTCTCTTGCATGAGACCCACCTGGGCTCTCATTTTAGCAACAGCAGGGGGAAAACAGAGGCCAGCCCTGCCCAAGTCCCCAGCTGAGCCTGTGGCCACCCAGACCCTTGCAGTCAGGACCAGCTGAGTGTGCTGCTCCAGCTGGTCCAGAGCAGCGTGCTGCACCCCTGGGTTGGGGCTGAAGGCTGGGGTCAGCAGAGACAGTTCCCCAACTAAATGCCAGGGGGTGCCAGGAGCCTGCCAGCACCTGGGCCGCCCAGTGATGGGCTCTGGTGGTGCCCGCCATGAACACTGGCCTAGATTGCCTCTACCCAGCTTAATCCAGGGAATCCCAGGGTGCCAGAGTGACCAGCCTGCCCAGAGACCCCATTAGGGACACAGTCATGCCTGGCAACTCCTCTGGCTCCCCGTCAGCTGCGCCCCATTCCCCTGACCCTCACCCCCAGCGGAACCTGGCCTTGCCCACCTATGGATGCTGTATCTGGAGACACGTGGCAGCAAGGTTCCTGTCATGGGGATGTGTTCTTCCCTGTGACAAGAAATCCACCCCCAACACACCTTGCATCTTGTGGAGGAGCCAAAAATGCAGCTGCAGATTGATCTGCCGCTGAGCTAAAAATAACCGCTAGGCTCCAGCCAGGGCCCAGGAAAATATCCCATTGCTAGGAGACAGCCGTTCCTGGGAGACGGCCATTGCTAGGCGACGGGGTTGCCATGGTGACAGCTGGGCCCTGAGTCATGCTCCACCCTGGCCGCCCCGCCCCTCTGCCCCTGGCGGGTGGGGCCTGGGTCCCGGGAGGAGGAAAGGTTGGAGGCAGAAGCCGGCATGCAGCCAAGGGGCCCACACCCTGATGCCCACAGTCACCATGGCCACCCGGGCTTCCCCGTTCTCACTCCTGCGGGCGCCCACTCTGGCAGCTGAGCGGCGAGGACAGCTGACCGCCCCCCCCCGTGCCCCACACGGTCCCCCCACCAGGCGCTGGTGCGTGGGGGCAGGGAGGGTTGCGGTGTCCATCTGGCCCTGTGCCTCCACAGCAGGAGGCTTCACAGTGGGCCGTTTACAATCAGGCATGCAGCTCTCACCACCTATGCTGTCCTAGGTGCCACGCTGACCCTCAGGGCACCCCCAGGGACCCCAGACCTATTTGCCAGGAGGGGAAGTACTTGCCTGAGCACCCCCCTGCCCCCACGGAAAGGAGGATTTGAGCCAGGCAGGTGGCTCCAGCGCACATGCTCCCAGAGCCCTCCGAGCAGCGGCTTGAGGACCCTTCCGTGAAGAGCCTCAGGAAGTCCAGAGCGGCTGCCCCGGTCCTCAGGAGCCATGAGGCCTGACCCCTCACGGGCAGCCCTAACCCCTGAGGTGACAGTGGCCCCCTCTCTCATGGGAGGGTCTCAGGGTGGGATGCACCAACAGCCTTTTGCTCCTCACCCTCCCATGACTAAAGAACTGGAAACCTCCCGCAGTCTGCACTGGGGAGACTCCTCCGTGTCCAGGCATCAGGACAAGGAGTGCTGCAGGTGAGGGGTGCTGCAAGTGAGGGGTGCTCCAAGTGAGGAGTGCTCCCAGTGAGGGGTGCTCCAGGTAAAGGAGTGCTGCAGATGAGGGGTGCTGCAGGTGAGGAGTGCTGCAGATAAGGGGTGCTGCAGGTGAGGGGTGCTCCAGGTGAGGGGTGCTGCAGGTGAGGGGTGCTCCAAGTGAGGAGTGCTCCCAGTGAGGGGTGCTCCAGGTAAAGGAGTGCTGCAGATGAGGGGTGCTGCAGGTGAGGGGTGCTCCAGGTGAGGGGTGCTGCAGGTGAGGGGTGCTCCAAGTGAGGAGTGCTCCCAGTGAGGGGTGCTGCAGGTAAAGGAGAGCTGCAGATGAGGGGTGCTCCAGGTGAGGGGTGCTGCAGGTGAGGGGTGCTCCAAGTGAGGGGTGCTCCCAGTGAGGGGTGCTGCAGGTGAGGGGTGCTCCAGGTGAGGGGTGCTGCAGGTGAGGGGTGCTCCAGGTAAAGGAGTGCTGCAGATGAGGGGTGCTGCAGGTGAGGGGTGCTCCCAGTGAGGGGCACTCCAGGTGAGGTAATGCCGAAGGCGAAGAATGTGGCCCTGGTGGCTGAAGTTCCGAGAGCAAGGGACCAGGTGTCGGGCAGAGCTGTGGCCAGCAGTGCGGGAGACTCAGGCTTTCTCAGGCCACAGCAAAGAGCAGACAGAGGCCTGGGAGCATGGAGGCTGTGTCTATACTGCCAAGTGATGCCCCTGCACCATGCGGAGAACGCGAGCTGCCCATCGGCCGTGGTGGAGAGAGAGAAGCCAGCTGGTACAAGGCAGGGTGATAGCGGTGGGGAGGGGGCAGCGCCCACAGGTACTGGGGAGGCTACTTCCACATTCCTCTGAAAGAAGGTCTTTCTTTGCTCAGATTCATCCAAGGCGGAGAGACTTCTCAGACCCCACTGAGGGCAGAACGTGCTGTCTGCCTGAGGCCCTGGCACCTGCTGAGGGGCAGAAGCGCCTGGAAGCAGGAGGTGAAGCCCTGCCCTGCTGGTCACCATCCCCGCCGGGGTCCACACGTGTGGAGGCTGAACTGGGAGGCCAGCCTCCTGGACCTGCACACCACAAGTGACTGTACGGGTCGGACAACACTGTCCCAGTCACCCCAAAGGCCTTCACGCATCCATTCTGACTGCCCACGCCAAGCTCCCTGCTTTGACCAGAGTCCGCACTAGGGCAAGACCATGATTCCTCAGCCCCTACCACACGGGAGAGCTGCCTTCACCCCAGCCTTGGCAAACTGGCTCCCGTGCCCTGCACACAGCACAGGCGGCACCCAGCTCCCAAACATCCAGGGCCCAGCCAGTGTGGCTCCCTGCTCCAGCTGCCCCCACCTCACGCCAGCCCCACTGGGTCCTGCTTCCCCTCAAAATGCTGCAAACACCAGCTGTTTTCATTTCTCACTCTCTCTCGGGGGCTTCCTTAAGGCTCTTTCCCTAATGTGAAGACCCCTGTCTGCTTTCCCACACCTGATCCCTCCACAGTCTCTGCTCCCAGGAGACCCCAGGATGGGTACTATTAGCCTCCATTCTCCACTCTGAGCCTGCTGGGAGGCCTGGCATCTCCAGTGGCCAGGAGAGAGCCCTGCACACCCTCCCTCCACACCCCACCCCGGCCCCTCTCCCAGCCTGGTCCCTACAAAGTGGCCACCACCACCTGCCTCCAAGGGGTTCCAGGCTCAAGACCTTAGAACCTAGAGCCCTGTGTGCACTCCTTCCTGGATAACTTCGCCCACCCTCTCATCCCTGGGGTTTCCCGTGAAGTGTCCTGTCCTCAGGAGCCACACCACCACCACCCTCCCGGGGTCACCATCACGTGGCCCTCTTGAACTTCCATCGTACTTGTCACCCTCTGAAATGGTCTGGTGGTTGTTGCTCGCCTCTGCGGAGTGGGGGGACACTGGGGGGTTTCTGGGCCTGGCACCCAGCAGGTGCGCAGGAGATGTGAGCGCCATGGAGGCTGCCTGGCCGTCCGCTCCGCTCCGCTAAGCAGGAAAGCCGGGAGGGTGAGGGTTGGACCGTCCTCGCCCCCGCAGGTGGCATCCAAGGGTCGGGACGCGCGGAGCTGGCCCCGCGCTCCACAAGACCGCGCATCCCCGGGGCCAGTCGCCGGCGCCAAAGAGCTCTCGAGTCCTCTTCCCCCACAGGATTCCGGGACCCCACTGCCCCGCGCAGGCAGGACTCTCCCCTGGCCAGCTCTCCGGCCGCGCGCCCTGCCCGCCCCGCCCCGCCGTGCGCGCGGGTTTGTTGTTGTGCGGGCGCCCGCGGCGAAGGGGTGGGGGTGCTGCCGGGCCGGCGCGTGCCCGTGGGCGCCGCGGCGGGA